CGACGGATAGCGCCCTCACCCCCTGCGCACTTCGTCTGGTGTTGCCACGCCTTCTACGCTGTGCGAATGTGCGACGGATAGCGCCCGCACCCCCTGCGCACACCCTCTGGTACCGAGAAAGTGCCACGCCTGCTACGTTGTGCGAGCGTGACACGGATAGCGTCCCCACCCCCTGTGCACCCCCTTCGGTGTCGAGAAAGTACCACAACTGCCACCCTTTGCAGCGGGCTTTCAGGAGAGGGTCCTCCGCTGGAAGGGTCCTGGAGGTGCATCCCGAGATACCTTCGACGCCACAGAGAGCATGTCGAGAAACACCTCTCTGCCCCCCCGAGACGTAGACCATCGCGGGCGTCCCTAGTGCATGTTGCCGAACATGCATTTTCGATGGATTGAGCGTGCGAGAGGCATTAGAGATACTCGGTATGAAAGGCGTTCTGGATGCACGTGCAGTTTTGTTTTCCGTTTGTTTTGTGTGGTATAACGCACAGAGTTTGTCGTTGTCGTTCCACTGTTGTTTGCGCATGAATGTACTGTGTGCATTGCGTCGCCCAGCGCATGCACGTACTCAACAGGTGAATGATTATGTAGCATGCTGTGTACACGCTGGCCATACTAGTCGCACCCACAAGCGAAGCGCATCAGGTGTGTCAGGGGCACAGGGCATACGCAAAGCGCTAGACGTGCAACCTGAAGAACAGAAAGCTTTTACATTGACAAGCTCTGGAATCGAGTGCCCGAACAAACAATGGGGAGGGGTCAATGGAGTGAAAGGGGAGGTGGAGAGGGATGTGCAAGGAGGGTCTATAGTGAGGAGGAGAAGGAAGGAGGAGTTGGAGAAGGAGGGAGGCGGAGGGGGAGGGGGGAGGAGGAGGGATGATGATGATGCTAATGATTATGATGATTATGATGATGATGATGATGGTGGTGATGATGATGATGGTGCTGATGATGATGATGATGGTGGTGATGATGACGATGACGATAATGATGATGCTGATGATGTTGCTGATGATGCTGATGATGATGATGATGATGATGACAATGACGGTGACGATGATGATAACGCTGATGATGATGACGATGATCATGATGATGATGACGATAATGATGATGATGATGATGATGATGATGATGATGATGATGATGATGATGATGATGATGATGATGATGATGATGATGATGATGATGATGATGATGATGACGATGATGATGATGATGATGACGATGAGGAGGATGAGGATGAGGATGAGGATGACGACGAAGACGACGATGTCTATGATGATGATGATGATGCGGATGCTGCTGCTGATGATGGTGCTGCTGATGCTGATGCTGATGCTGCTGATGCTGCTGCTGCTCATGATGATGATGACGATGATGATGCTGATGCTGATGCTGATGCTGATGCCGATCCTGGTAGGAGGAGGAAGGGAAGGAATGCGATTGCGATTGCGCTGAATGCGGTGACCAAGAGCAAGCCTGGGCGCATGGGAAATTCACCCTCGCACGGGGAAGCTCATACCTGACTTTGGAGGGAGCCCCCGAGACAAACGGGAGAGCGCCTCCCGCCCTTTAGCAGTGGGGGCTCCACACAGGCCAGACAACTTCCGCGCTTGATCAACTCCAAACGCTCCACAAACTAAGCAGTACAACACACCCTGACAGGTGGCGAGGGTGTGGGAGGCATGGACAGAGACAAAGAGAGGGTGGTCGGAGGGAGGGCGCCGCGCCTGGATGTCCGCCACCACCATGGGGGGTGCCTCATCGCGGCGGTCCTGCTCACCCCGAGGGATCCACTCTCCCGCAACCTGCCCGAACTCGGACAATGGAATGCACATGCGAGGCCAGAAATGCGACAGGGCTCCTCTCCGAGAGAAGGAGCGGCTGCACCTCGTACACTTGAACAACGTGCGACGGAGAGAGACATCGTGGCCAGCAGCGATCAACCTCGCCCGCCGCGCCTCCAAACTAGTGATGCCAGCACGCTTCCGAGCAGCAGCGAGGCCAACACGGCTGTCAGTGCCGCGTTCCCGCTCGCATGTCAGAAAAACTTCTCGCTGAATCGCCACAAGACGGCGCAGGATCTTTTCCTGCAGCTCGTCTGCAGCTCGGACAGAGGCGACCTCATCTGGTCCTAACTTGCCTCTCAGGGCCCCTTCATTGGCACAGAGGCCGGATGCACTATTCAACAGCAACTCGACGCGAGAAATCTGCATGTCCTCAATTTGTGCCTGGGTCGGGTGGGATTTTGTCCAACGGAGATCAACCTTGCCCGAACGCGTCCCACGACGCTCCCAAATACGACCGCAGATATCGAGCATACTACTCTTACTCCTCTTAACATGCTCTGGAGACTTCCGAAAACTCCGAACAACAGGGAGGTAGTCCGAGAACACCAGAATGTTCCCTTCAGTCATCGTCAGCAGGACGAGCAACGCATAGAGCTCTGACCGAGGAGAACTCTGGCAAGTAGTAGGTAAAGTCCCAAAGACTCCGCCCGCAATGTCGGACTCGTTAGGATGTAGCATAACAGCGCTCCACCCGCACCTCCTTCGCCTCCAGTCCTTAGCTCAGAGCCCCCCGATCCATCGATCCCCCACACCCCACCAACCACAGGGCGGGCGCCTTGGAGAGCTCCAAAGGCCCACTGAGCAGTCTGGGGCATCGGGAGACCCTTCGCAACTTGATCGAGCGACATCAGACCGCGGCACCAGAGGGAAGGAAGGGAGGCACTCTCCGCGATAGCAATCGGGGACAAGCTATCTGTGGCCAAGACATCAGGATTATCTAGCGCACAGTTCGCCGCGCACTGCCAGAATCGGTGCGTCGGCGTCTCGGGCTCCAGCCCGCACCTGGGACACAAAGGGCTAGCTGCGTAGCCAGCCCGCGCCTGGGACGGAATTCAGTCCAAAATCCCCCAACCAAGGTGTTCCGCAAGATCGCCTGGGATTCGTAATCCAGGTTCCGACCAAACTGTTTCAACATGGCCCGAGGGACGGAAACATCAATTCCCTCTTGCACCCCCGCTCCCAAATAGTGCTCCGCGGCTTTGCCCCAAACCACATCAGCACAGGTAGCCTGGATAGCCCGCCACAGGTAGAACCGAAAGGAGGGGGCCTCAACATAGAGGGGGGTGCCGTACTCATCCTGCCATTCACAGGGAGGGGTGGGGATCCATTCAAGGTCGAAGAGGGTGGCGACGGTAGCCATCACGGGTCCTTTGACCCGCCTCCACCGACAATCCGCAGGAATGCTCAAACACAAATCCACCGCAGCCACCCAAACATCATGGACTCGCATGCGGTCCTTAGGTGGCAAATCACACCACAGATCCGCGAAGCTGAGCAGGTGCTCATGCCTCAATCGGAAGATAGGGTCCTCCGCACTGCTACAGATCAACGACAAAACCGTGGTGGAACAAGACCCAAGGGCCCACCAGCCCGAACACTGGGCCGCTTGGCCCCTCATAGTTCGCAACTGGTGAGGGGACATCCCAACCAGTTGATGGCCCCATGTCCCGACCGCCAACACACCAGGTTTGTGCAGCTTGGAGGCCCTCTGAAAAATGCGGGAAGGGAAAGAAACCTTGCCCGAACGGCGCCGCGCTTCAAGCCTCCGCCGCTTCACTTCAGGAATCCTCCGCCGTCTTCCCGCCGTGGTACAGGGCCCCAAATCCTTCGTTTCAGCACGGTATCGAATTGGAAGTCTCAAGGCCTGCAGACTACCCGCGAGGTGATCGCCGACCGCGGGGGAGGAGCAGACGAGAGCGCTCTTGCAACTGATAGTCAAGCCCAGCTTGTCAACCCCTTGCGCGAACAGCGTCGCAGCAGGCAAGGCGTGGGTAAAGAGCTCCTGCTCTCTACCAGCCATATTCTGAGCAATATCATCCACCTAGACCCGTGAGATCACTCGAGGCATTTCACCATTCACCTGATAATGTGCAGCCTCCAGGGCCCCATAAACGTAGATTTTGACCCACGGCATACTCTGGGAACAGCCAGGTAAAACCCCCCTCCCCGCGGACACCACACGGGAAACGTACCCTTCAACCTCCAACATGCGGGGGGCCGTATGTATGAGCATTCCAAGGTACAACAGATGGGGTGGGTATTTCATGCGCAGGGCCAATCGGATGAGCAATCTCGGGCTCACCGTGTCAAAGGACTTCGTAAGATCCCAATGGGTCGCAACAGAAATAGCCCCTTCATGTCTGGCACACTCGTGGTGCAGCTCCCGAACAAGCGCCGCTCGGAGAGCCGACGATCCCTTGACCGCCGTGTCCCAGAACGCCGTGTGGTCGGCAGTCCACGCATCGATATCCCCCCCACCCGAATTTTGGTGTAAAGTCGGTACAAGGTGGGGCACTTACAGACGGGACGCTCATCAGTCTGACACTTGGGCAACAACGCAATCAGGCCGAGCAAGATTTGAGTTGGCCAAGCCATACTCCGTTCGCAAAGGGGGTACAGAGAGGCCAGGGCGTGAAGGGCCTCGGCAGGGGGCCCAGCCACCGCCCGAGGTCCCCACCCATCAACGCCGACGGCCGTTGTCGCCGAGAAAAAATTGCACGCTTGAGTGCATGGGGCCGTGATGGGGGGAAGGTCGTTCACATGCTCCAGAGCCACAGCTCGGAGGTCAGACATGGCGTCGCCCCGCCTCAATATCTCATCCTCCGACACAGACCAACACCCTCCCCATAAACGGGCCCGATGCTCCATCATTTCTTCAGGTGACGGCTTGACGCCGTCGGGGGGGAGGGGGGAAGGGGGGGGGGGGGGGGGGTAAAATGTGCAACCGCACTTCGATTGTCACGCTTCAACCAGGAATGCACCCCTTTGGCGCCATGTGGGATGGCACGCAGCAGCCAGGCCTTAAGGCCTTTCGAAGACTCCGCCTTAGCTGCCGTCCAAGCACGCTTCAAAACCTCGGAAGTAAGGTCAACGAGGCGATCCACCATATCAAGATCCCCTAGCGCCGCAGCGGTGACCTGATCGGCCCACCAGGGGGAAGGCTGAGCTGGTGGCAGCGCCTCGGAAAACTCGCCGACGCGGCTGACCATGTCCATGGTCAGCCCGCAGACGTGGCTCTCGGTGGATCGCCGTCGCAACAACGTGCGGAGCTCAAACAGCTTGGCTGATAACCGAGACCAAAACGCCAACGTCGGACAACGAAAAGATGTGCCCATGCCACCTTTATGCGTGATCGTCGATGTAACCAATTTCATAGCATCCCCTCTCCCCATGTACGCATGCTCCTCATCCTCCTTGATGGCGGCACAGGCACGCGAAATAAACAAACGTTCGGTAGCACGCGACCAGAGGGAATACTGTACAGATATCTGATCATCGAGATGCTCGACAGCATGCGGGATGAGATGGGCCATCTGCACAGAGCACATACTCAGCGGCACACGGTCGGAGCAAATCTCTTGATGAAGGTGGCGCCGCCGCGTTAAGTCGGGCCCGTGACGCACTGGAATAACTCGAGGGCGTACTCGCCGATCGAGGCGCTGAACCAACACTCGGTGAGCTAGCTGGATGCGGAGTGCACGATGTGTTTTAAAAGGGGGACGGTTCGTACACTCCAACCTGGACGAACGGGGCCAAATCCTCCGAGACCAACGCATAATCGTTCATCGTCCCTGATCCTTGTGAACACGTGAAATCGACTCCCTTGGGTGCTAATACCCGAGCGTGAACAGACTGCGGATATCCAGAGAGCCATATCGTTTCAACCTCGATATTGAAGTCACCGACCAACATCCAGGGAATCCCGAGAGCACGAACGAACTCGGCGATACCCCGCATTTTGGACAGGTTCTCCCCCGCGACTCCCAGGCACGAGACAAAATAACAAACTCCGACCGCAATGGTCGCTTTCTGGGTCTTGAGTTCGAGAAACATCCACCCAGGGCCCGGCCCAATGTCGGAAACTCCGCCCGCATGGGCAAGAAAGCGTTTAAAATGCATGCTCTTACTGACGACCATCCCGACCCCGCCGTGAGTCCCCCCTCCCTTAGTAGGCACGCCTGCCTGCAGATGGGGCCTCCAGCCCATGGCTGCAATCTCTCGCTTCGCAGCAGGCAACGCTTGCTGCTGCAATCGGTGCTCGCAAAAGAGAAACGCATCAACCTCTGGGCAAATGGCAGACGCAAAGTCCTTCGCAATCCTGGACCAGCTCGTGACGTTACAAAACACCAAATTCAGGCCCCCGCCTGCAGCAAGTGAAACCTTGGCTCGGGGCGGACGGGATCGGTGAGCAAACTCAGTGCTAAAGAGACGCCGCCCCTTCCACAGGCATCGCAACGGCCTGCTTGAGCAGCTCGGTGAACTGGCAATGGATCTGCTCCTTCGTGGTCCGCAGGCGCTTGGAGGTGCGAGCTCGAACGCGATCACGGATGAGGCTCTCCATGCGCTCCTGCTCCTCGGGGGAAAGGACTTGCTCCTGACCGCGCTTGCGCAACCCGCGCAACTCTTCATCTCCAGCTCCGCCTGCATCGCCGAAGCTGGCGTCGCTGCCTGCGTCGCTAGCAGCATCGTCATCAGCGCGAAGAATGGTGGTCCGCATGGCCACGAACGCCTCCCAAAGGCCCTTGGGCAACCGCTGCTGGCTGGCCCACTCATTCTGCTCGGCTGCCGACATCTGCGAGAAATCGGGGAGGTCAACCTGCATGGGCTCCTGCGCTGGAGCGTCCGCACCTCCTTCACCGCCAGCAGGCGCACCAGCATGAGCAGGGTCGCCACCACCAGCACCTCCAGCAGCCTCGCCGCCGCGCGCCGCGCCACAGCGCGCCCCGCCCCGCCAGGGCGGGCCCGCCCGCGGCGCAGCAGGGGCGCCAGCGGGGGGCGCAGCCCGCTGGGCCTGGCGCGCCGCCTCCGCGCGCGCCTCGGCAGCCTTCGCCGCCTTCCAGGCTTCGGGGTCGAAGGCCTGCAGCTCGGCGTCTGCATCGCGGCGAGCCTTCTGAGCAGCGTCATGCTCCTCCTCCGCAGCATGAAAGGCGTCCGTCGCCTCATCGAGTTGCTCCCGTACACGTTGAGCCTTGCTTCTCTTCTGTTCCACTTCCTGGCACGTGAGTCGCACTTGCCGAGCTGCATCCTCGACCACGCGTGCCAAACGGGTCCGCTCGGTGTTCGCCGCGGTGTCGAGCTGGGCGGGCGTGAGGACAGCCGCGGGGGGCGCTGGCTCCTCCGCCAAGTCGCCCAAGGACTCGCGGAGGTCAGGCCGCGCTGCCAGGAGAGTGGCGGCTGCGGCGCGCAGCTGCGCATCGGGCTGCCCAGCATCAGCAGCTCGCACAGGGGCGCCTTCATGGCCTCCCCCTCCACCGATATTGGACTCGAGGTAGTAGCCCCCGCACTTGGAGCAAGCCTCGTGCCCACGGCTCGCCCACTCCCAGTGACTGCAGGAAAAACACGCGTGGTACCTCCGCTGGCGCAGGCGGCGCCGCGGGGCACGCATGCCGTCCCGTGAACCTTCAGGCTGAAACACCCAGCTCCCAGCTTGGCCACGATAGCTGCCAGCCCGAGGACCAGCGCCACCGCGACGCCATCGGGGCTCAGGCGCCATGGCCACGGGCGCCTCAGATATGGAGGAATGATGCCGAAAGGGAGCCTCGCTCCTCTCGAAGAAAGCAGGCTACGGAAGCCCCGAAGCTAATCGCTGATTCTCAGGCGTCCATAGCCCTTCACAGCGTTTAGCCTTGAGCCAAAATGGCTACGGGGAGGAAGGGAAGGAAGAGGAGGAGGAAAAGGAGGAGGAGAAGGAGGAGGAGGAGGGAGCAGGATGGAGGAGGAGGGAAGAGGAGGAAAAAGAGGCAGGGAGGCAGGAAAGGCCAGGGCCTTGCTTCCAGGTGGCTGGCCCCAGGCAGCATAGACGGCCTGGCACTGTCGTGCGGCGGGTGGCCCACCCCCGCAGGCACCGACGGAAGAATGACGCAGGATGAGAGGCCCGTCTGCGGGAAGGGGCCCAAACCTGTGGGGGTCCACGTTCCCAGGTCCCCGACGTAGTGTTCTTTTTTACAACGTCGACCCCCAGAGGTCTGGACACCTTCTGGGGGACCGTTTTTTCTCATCCTGAGTCGTTTCTTGATGGTCCTGAGGCCCGGTAAGGGTCCTTAGAGGCCCAAGGTCGCTAATTATCCAGGCGAAGGACCCAACCATATGACGTTGTGGGTACCGCAATTGTGAATATCTTCTTCGGTGAAGCTCCCTGTGGGGCCACGAAGCGCTGCGCTGGGCGGGGGGGGAACGCAGGCGGGCGGTAGCACTGGGGTCGTCGGTGAAGCTCCCTATGAGGCCACGAAGCGCTGTACTGGGTGGGTGAAAATACCAAATTAGGCGTGTGGGACGCATGCGGGCGGTCCCATGGGGGGGGCTTCGGTGGATCTCCCCATGGGGCCGCGAAGCGTTGTAAAGGGTGGGTGACAATGCCAAATTGGGTGTGGGGGACGCATGCAGGCGGCCCCACTGGGGGCTTCGGTGGGGCTCCTTATGGGGCCACGAAGCGCTGTGCTGGGTTTGTGAAAATGCCAAATTGGGTGTGGGGGACGCATGCGGGCGGTCCCACTGGAGGCTTCGGTGGAGCTCCCTGTGGGGGACGCATGCGGGCGGTCCCACTGGGGGCTCCGGTGGAGCTCCTTATGGGGCCACGAAGCGCTGTATTGGGTGGGTGGCAATGCCAAATCGGGTGTGGGGGACGCATGCGGACGGTCCCGCTGGGGGCTTCGGTGGGGCTCCCTATGGGGCCACGGAACGCTGTATTGGGTGGGTGACAATGCCAAATCGGGTGTGGGGGACGCATGCGGGCGGTCCCACTGGGGGCTTCGGTGGAGCTCCCTATGGGGCCATGGAGCGCTGTATTGGGTGGGTGGCAATGCCAAATCGGGTGTGGGGGACGCATGCGGGCGGTCCCACTGGGGGCTTCGGTGGAGCTCCCTATGGGGCCACGGAGCGCTGTATTGGGTGGGTGACAATGCCAAATCGGGTGTGGGGGAGATGCGGGCGGTCCCACTGGGGGCTTCGGTGGGGCTCCCTATGGGGCCACGAAGCGCTGTACTGGGTGGGTGACAATGCCAAGTTGGGTGTGGGGGACGCATGCGGGTGGTCCCACTGGGGGCTTCGGTGGGACTCCCGATGTGGCCACGAAACGCTGCACTGGGTGGGTGACAATGCCAAGTTGGGTATGGGGGACGCATGCGGGTGGTCCCACTGGGGGCTTCGGTGGGACTCCCGATGGGGCCACGAAGCGTTGTACTGGGTGGGTGACAATGCCCCGTTGAGTTTGGGGGACCCATGCGGGCGGTCCCACTGGGGGCTTCGGTGGAGCTCCCTATGAGGCCACGAAGCGTTGTGCTGGGTGGGTGAAGCGCATGGAAGAAGGAGGAGGGAGGGGAGGAGGGGGAGGAGAAGGAGAAGAGGAGAGTAACGCGGGGACCGTCTCGTCAAAACGAGGACCCAACACCACAGGATGGTTGGGAATTACGCTACCGAGGAACCCCACATACTCAATTTAAATCTTATGTGCTTGCTTACGTTTATAATATATGCGCAATTCTGCGTTCTCAGCCGTCGTCGCGAATGTTCCCCTCTGTGTCATCCAACGCCGTATTGCTTGAACCTCCTCCCTCTTCCTAGCCTTCTATCCTCCATCAAGGACAGATTCGAGCCAGCCAGCGGCCGCGCTCAGGGACCACCCCCTGCGCACCCCCTATGGTGTCGAGAAAGTGCCACGCCTGCTATGCCTGGACGACTGGCACGGATAGCGGCCGCGCTCAGGGACCACCCCCTGCGCACCCCCTATGGTGTCGAGAAAGTGCCACGCCTGCTATGCCTGGACGACTGGCACGGATAGCGGCCGCGCTCAGGGACCACCCCCTGCGCACCCCCTATGGTGTCGAGAAAGTGCCACGCCTGCTATGCCTGGACGACTGGCACGGATAGCGGCCGCGCTCAGGGACCCCCCCCTGCGCACCCCCTGTGGTGTCGAGAAAGTGCCACGCCTGCTATGCCTGGACGACTGGCACGGATAGCGGCCGCGCTCAGGGACCACCCCCTGCGCACCCCCTATGGTGTCGAGAAAGTGCCACGCCTGCTATGCCTGGACGACTGGCACGGATAGCGGCCGCGCTCAGGGACCACCCCCTGCGCACCCCCTATGGTGTCGAGAAAGTGCCACGCCTGCTATGCCTGGACGACTGGCACGGATAGCGGCCGCGCTCAGGGACCACCCCCTGCGCGACATGGTGTAAGTTGCGCAGCCCACGCCTGCTATGCCTGGACGACTGGCACGGATAGCGGCCGCGCTCAGGGACCACCCCCTGCGCACCCCCTATGGTGTCGAGAAAGTGCCACGCCTGCTATGCCTGGACGACTGGCACGGATAGCGGCCGCGCTCAGGGACCACCCCCTGCGCACCCCCTATGGTGTCTAGAAAGTGCCACGCCTGCTAAGCCTGGACGACTGGCACGGATAGCGGCCGCGCTCAGGGACCACCCCCTGTGCACCCCCTATGGTGTCTAGAAAGTGCCACGCCTGCTATGCCTGGACGACTGGCACGGATAGCGGCCGCGGTGAGGGACCACCCCCTGCGCACCTCCTATGGTGTCGAGAAAGTGCCACGCCTGCTATGTTTGGACGACTGGCACGGATAGCGGCCGCGTTCAGGGACCACCCCCTGCGCACCCCCTATGGTGTCGAGAAAGTGCCACGCCTGCTATGCCTGGACGACTGGCACGGATAGCGGCCGCGGTGAGAGACCACCCCCTGCGCACTCCCTATGGTGTCGAGAATTTGCCATTACGCACCCCCTACGCTGCTATGCATGTGCTGTGTTGTGCTGTGCTGTGCTGTGCTGTGCTGTGCTGTGCTGTGCTGCGCTGTGTAAGAAGGAGAGAGAGGGGAGGAGGAGACGCGGGTGCGCCGCGGCAGGGAAGAAAACCATAACCCCACGAAACATGTGGGGAAAAACATCCCGTTGCGATTTGTTCAAAACGAGAGGGTGTCTGGGTGTATAAAGGAGTCCTGACGTCGGGGGTCTTCGGAGTGAGGAGGGGCCGCCGGGTGGGCGGCGATGCAGCTGCGCTTCGGGCGCCCCCCCCCGCGCGCCCCCGTTCCCTCAGTCTGCGTGGCCCAGGCTCGTCGTGGCCAGACAAAGCCCCTGCGCTCCCCGTGTGGCGCTGCTTTTGGCAGCACGACGGTGGTCGTCAGGGCGAGGGAGGCCGACGAGGAGCAACCGGCGTAGGCACACGGTCTCGAGTGCCCGCGCGGATCTCCTGGATCTGCCCTGGGCTCCTCCCCCCCTCCGTGCGCCAAGGAGGGAGGTCCAGCGCCGATCCAAGAGATGCGTGCGGACCTTCGAACATTCCAGTTGTTGTTGCTGGTGTTGTCGTTATTGTTGTTGGTGTTGTTGTTGTTGGTGTTATTGTTGTTGTTGGTGTTGTTGTTGTTGGTGGTGGTGGTGCTGTTGTTGGTGGTGGTGGTGGTGCTGTTGTTGTTGTTGTTGTTGTTGTAGTTGTTGTTGTTGTTGTTGTTGTCGTTGTTGAATTCTCATTTCTGAAGAATAATTATTGTTGATCCCCCCACACCGGTGCATACTGTTTTTACCTGACAGCGAAGACTGATAGGTTTCTAGTAGGGTCAAAAGAGAGCATCATGACGCCCCAGGGGGGTCTGGGCGCGATCCGGGGGAGGATGCCAGGAATTTTGTTTAGCCAACAGTTACACATTTCGTGGTCTTCGAGGTCCCAGAACTCCATTCCCGGGCCACATTCTGAATGACCGGAGCCAACTGTAGGCCACTTCGTGGTCTTCGAGTTCCCAGAACTCCATTCCCGGGCCACATTTTGAATGCCCGGAGCCAATTGTAGGCCACTTCGTGGTCTTCGAGTTCCCAGAACTCCATTCCTGGGCCACATTTTGAATGCCCGGAGCCAACTGTAGGCCACTTCGTGGTCGTCGAGTTCCCAGAACTCCATTCCTGGGCATGGTTTTGAATGCCCAGCGCCAACTATAGGCCACTTCGTGTTTTTGAGTTCCCAGAACTCCATTCCCGGGCCGCATTTTGAATGCTGAGGCAGGCTGATGCTGAGGCTGAGGCAGGCTGATGCTGAGGCAGGCTGAGGCTGAGGCTGAGGCTGAAGGCAGACTGAGGCTGAGGCTGAGGCTGAGCGGCTTGAGGAGGCTGAGGCTGAGGCAGGCTGAGGAGGCTGAAGGGCTGAGGCTGAGGCTGAGGCTGAGGCAGGCTGAGGCTGAGGCAGGCTGAGGCTGAGGCTGAGGCTGAGGCTGCAGGCTGAGGCTGAGGCAGGCTGAGGCTGAGGCCGAGGCTGAAGGCAGCTGAGGCTGAGGCTGAAGGCTGAGGCTGAGGCTGAGGCAGGCTGAGCTGAGGCAGGCTGAGGCTGAGGCTGAGGGCTGAGGCTGAGGCTGAGGCTGAGGCCGAGGCTGAAGCTGAGGCTGAGGCTGATGAGGCTGAGGCTGAGGCTGAGGCTGAGGCTGAGGCAGGCTGAGGCTGAGGCTGAGGCAGGCTGAGCTGAGGCAGGCTGAGGCTGAGGCTGAGGCTGAGCAGGCTGAGGCTGAGGCAGGCTGAGGCTGAGGCCGAGGCTGAAGGCTGAGGCTGAGGCTGAAGCAGGCTGAGGCTGAGGCTGAGGCAGGCTGAGGCTGAGGCAGGCTGAGGCTGAGGCTGAGGCAGGCTGAGGCTGAGGAGGCTGAGTGAGCAGGCTGAGGCTGAGGCTGAGGCTGAGGCTGAGGCTGAGGCTGAGGCAGGCTGAGGCTGAGGCTGAGGCAGGCTGAGGCTGAGGCTGAGGCTGAGGCTGAGGCGAGGCCTGAGGCTGAAGGCAGACTGAGGCTGAGGCTGAAGCAGGCTGAGGCTGAGGCTGAGGCAGGCTGAGGCTGAGGCTGAGGCAGGCTGATGCTGAGGCAGGCTGAGGCAGGCTGAGGCTGATGCAGGCTGAGGCTGAGGCAGGCTGAGGCTGAGGCCGAGGCTGAAGGCAGACTGAGGCTGAAGCAGGCTGAGGCTGAGGCTGAGGCAGGCTGAGGCTGAGAGGCTGAGGCTGAGGCTGAGGCTGAGGCTGAGGCAGGCTGAGGCTGAGGCTGAGGCTGAGGCTGATGCTGAGGCAGGCTGAGGCTGAGGCTGAGGCTGATGCAGGCTGAGGCTGAGGCAGGCTGAGGCTGAGGCCGAGGCCGACGGCAGACTGAGGCTGAGGCTGAAGCAGGCTGAGGCTGAGGCAGAGGCAGGCTGAGGCTGAGGCTGAGGCAGGCTGATGCTGAGGCAGGCTGAGGCTGAGGCTGAGGCTGATGCAGGCTGAGGCTGAGGCAGCCTGAGGCTGAGGCCGAGGCTGAAGGCAGACTGAGGCTGAGGCTGAAGCAGGCTGAGGCTGAGGCTGAGGCAGGCTGAGGCTGAGGCAGGCTGAGGCTGAGGCTGAGGCAGGCTGAGGCTGAGGCTGTGACTGCGACTGCCGTTGCCACTGCGACTGCCATCGCGAATGCGACTACGACTGCGAGAACAGCAGAATTCTACAACAGGATTCTCATCTGAATCTTAAGGGGAATGCTTCCAGATATGCTCCTACACATCGCTGTTAGGTTGCTTTGCCGGGATAATTTCTCAATCAAAGTGTGCCCCTCGACGCTCGCACCCTGTTTTTTGAAAGGGAAAGTCTTCCTGCTCAAACTGGCCCCCTGGCCCCCAGGTTACAACAACAACGGCTCCCGCCTGAGACTTCCTTACAATTTAGGCAGGACCCCCGCTCCCGCCCGAGACTTCCTCGCATTTTATTCAGGAATCGCGCTCTCGCATGGGACTTCCTGACAATTTATTCAGAAATCGCTCTCCCGGAGCTCTGGAGTCGCGCTCTCGCTGGAGACTTGCTTGCAACTTACTGAAGAATAGCCTTGCGTGGGAATTTCTGGGAATTTGCCCAAGCGCCGCGCTCCCGACACCCAGGCACCCAGGCGTCGCGCCCTTTGTGGCCCCATGTGCATGCCCTTCGTGGCCCCGCTGTCGCCGTTTGTGTTCCCCTCATTGTCCTACGTGGCCCAGTTGCTACCTTCAGTGGCCCCATAGTTGCCTTCTGTGGCCCCGCATTATCTGCACTTCGTGGCCCCATACGCATTCCCTTCGTGTCCCCGCTGTCGCCCTTCGTGGCCTACTTCGTGCCCTTCGTGGCCCTGCTGTCGTTCTCTCTCGCTCTCGCTTTCGCTCGTCGTCGTCGTCGTCGTCGTCTTCGACGTCGTCGTCGTCGTCGTCGTCGTCGTTCGTCGTCGTCGTCGTCGTCGACGTCGTCGTCGTCGTCGTCGTCGTCGGTCCCCTGTCCGTCCCTCTTGGGGTCGGGTCGACGGTCCGCGGCCGCCCCGCCGATCAGCGCTGCCGCTGGCCAGGCCGACGGTCCGCGGCCGCCCCGCCGCTTGCCGGGGCCCGGCCTGCAGGGAAGAAAGGTATACCCCCCAAAAGGGGTTCGATCGAAGACGAAGAGGGCGGGTATCGAGGGTTTGGGAAATACGCGTTATTGGACACTCGAGCATATAAGGGCGAACGGTCTTAAAATGATTGATTGTTGTTGTTGTTGTTGTTGTTGTTGTTGTTGTTGTTGTTGTTGTTGTTGTTGTTGTTGAACATTATTTCTTCTTAAGAATAATTATTGTTGGGACCCCTGGTGCGCGCCCCCCCCGCCGCGCCTAGGCCGCAGCCACGTTTTCATCATTTTCGTGAGGAAGCTCAGGCAAAACGATGTGGTCCAGATCCGGTTGTTTTGTTGTCCCCCGCTTTCCCTTGCAAAAAATAAGGTAAAGTGGACATTTCTTGTTCTAACATAATCAAACTTCAAGAATCCCTTGCAAAAAAAAGGTAAAGTGGACATTCGCGCGCGCAAGACGAAATCCTTCCAAAACCTTAGTTTCGTAGCGATTTTAACATAAAAACATCAAAAAACCAATGTTTTTTTTCAAAAAAAATGTCAAAATTTCATCCCGCGCGCTCTTGCGGATTCGTAGGAAACCCAACACTTTTTAAACATTTCTGTCAAACGGGCTTTTGCGAGCAACTTTTTCGAACTTCTGCAACAACGGTTGCGCACCTGCCAGGGCCATCATCCCTGTCAAATAATACCATGCGGGACACATTCGTTTTTTCTTCGCGCGCGCACGCCGTCGTCGTCGGCCGCGGGGCCCTGAATAGTAGCCACGGTCGTCCGCATGCCACGAAGTGAAGTGTCCGAACGTCATAGGGCGGGAAGCTGGGTGTGGGTGGTGGCGAAGAGTCGTTTGGAAATTTGGTAGAGCTTGAACCGGCCCCCCCACAAAGTGGGGGTATTGCCCGCCTCCTATGAAAACCCTGGCACTGGTGAGAACGGAGTGTCCCCACGTGCTAGTAATTGTTGTTGTTGTTGTTGTTGCTGTTGTTGTTGTTGTTGTTGTTGTTGTTGTTGTTGTTGTTGTTGTTGTTGTTGTTATTGTTGTTGTTGTTGTTGTTGTTGTTGTTGTTGTTGTTGTTGTTGTTGTTGTTGTGTGTGTGGTTGTTTTTTTGTTTTTGATTCTACTTCAAGAAGGACGCTGAGAGAGGCGGGGGTTGCGCAGTGCTCCTTCGCGTCCTGCTCTTACCCCCCTGCCCCTCCTCCTCAACCCTCCTCCTCCTTCCCCTGCTCCCCCCTTTTTCCTCGTCTTCCTCATTCTCCTGCTCCTCCTCGTCTCCTCTTCTCTTCTCCTCTCCTTCTCCCGCTTCTCCTCTTCTCCTCCTCCTCCTCCTCCTTGGCCTGCAGTCCCTTGTGGGAGGCTGCACGCCCCAGACAGTAGCTCCCCTGTGAAGCCCTTTCGCGGACCTCCTCTCCGATCCGATCCGATGCTCCGCCTTCTCCTTCTTAGTCACCCTTCTCCTGGTGCCCCCCACCCGCGGGTCACCTTTGGGGTTTCATATCCAGCTACCTCTAGCAATTCCGCCACCGTGCCAGCGAAGCATTCTGGGAGGAAGGCATCCGGGCCTCAGGAGCGCAATTTCGTAGCGTTTTGCGAGGGATTGTGGTATTGGAGAGAGCGGGTGGTGCACGCAGGTGGGCGCGGCGAGGCTGCCAGACAGCACCTGACATTTTAACACGTCTCAGCGTGCCAGGGGCCACAGTGGCGGATTGGTAAGGGGAGGGAGGATGAAGGAGAGATGGAGCAGAGGAAGGCAGGAGGAAAGCATGGGTGGAGGAGGGAGTGATGAGGAAGGGGCTGTAACACTAGGAAGGAGGAGAGGAGAGAAGGAGGCGCAAGTAGGTTATAGAGAGAGAGAGAGAGAGAGAGAGAGAGAGAGAGAGGAGGAAGGAGGACAGAAGCGAGGAGTCCCCAGCTGCTTGCCCGAGGCCACTCGAAGCAACGAAGGCCTGCACGAGTGCGACCTCCTCATGAGGATCGACTGCGACACACACCAGCTGGTCCTGATCGGCGAGTTTGGCAACGGCCAGGCGCACAACCCCTGGTCCAAAATCCACGCCCAATGCTTTGTATTACTTCCCCGTCTGCCCGCCATGCCTCCCGCGCTCCCTCCCCTCCCTCTCGCTTCCCCTCCGCTCGTCAGTCCTTCCCTTTGCCTGTCGCCCTCTTCCCGCCCTCGCCGTCGCCGTCGCCCTCGCCCTGGCGCCTTTCCGTTCAACTGCCCCTCCCCTCCTTCTCTTCTCCGTCTTTACTCTCTGCGTCTTTGACACGCAGAGAATCCTCCAGCTCTTGTTTCCCTCGTCTGGACCAGTCATGCATTCGTGCGTATGCATGTACCTATGCACCTACACTCACACATACATATACACATATATGCATATGCACATATACCTACTAGGCATGTGCGCCCTCATCGCAATGTGCAGGGCAACCGCAAGCGGTTTGAAATAATCGGTTTGAAATTCCACTGGGCATGTGCGCAGCACCATGTGCAGGGCAATAATAAGCGCTTTGAAATTCCACTGGGCATGTGCGCAACGCAATGTGTAAGGAAGCCATAAGCGGCTTGAATTTCCACTGGGCATGTGCGCAGCTCAATGTGCAGGGCAACCGTAAGCGCTTTGAAATTACACGCGACATGTGCGCAGCGCAATGTGCAGGGCAACAATCAGCGGCTTCACATTCCACTGGGCATGTGCGCAGCGCAAGGCGCAGGGTACCCGTAAGCGGTTTGAAACAAGCGGTTTGAAATTCCACGCGGCATGTGCGCTGGGCAATGTGCAGGGCAGCCATGAGCTGTTTGAACTTCCACTGGGCATGTGCGCAGAGCAATGCGCAGGGTACTCACCAGCGGCTTGATTTTCCACGAGCATTTGCTCAGAACGATGTGCAGGCCAACCGTCAGCGGTTTGAGCTATGCGGCTTGAAATTCCGGTGGGCCCGTGCGCAGCGCAATGTGCAGGGCAACGATGAGCGGCCTGAAATTCCGTTGGGCATGTGCGCAGCGCAGTGTGCAGGGCAACCATACGCGGTTTTGAAATGAGCGGTTTGAATTTTCACTTGGCATGTGCGCAGCGCAATGTGCAGGGCAACCGTAGGCGGTTTGAAACAGGCGGTTCGAAATTTCATGCGGCATGTGCGCAACGCGATGTGTATGGCAACCGTAAGTGGTTTGAAAGTCCAGTGGGCATGTGCGCAGCGCAATGTGCAGGGTACTCACCAGCGGTTGAGATTCCAGTGGGCATGTGCGCAGCAACCATCAGAGGCTTGACGATCCAATGAGCATGTGGCCTGTGCGCAGCGCAATGTGCAGGGCAACCACCAGCGACTGGAAATTCCACTGGGCTTTGCGCAGCGCAATGTGCAGGGCAACCGTAAACGGCTTGAAATTCCACTGGGCATGCGCGCAGCGCAATGTGCAGGGCAATCATCAGCGGTTTGGAATTCTTCTCGGCATGTGGGCGGCACCATCTGTATGACAGCTATAAGCGGTTTGAGCTAGATGGTTTGTAACTCAGTCGGGTATGTGCGCAGTGCAACGTGCAGAGCAACCATCCGCGGTTTGAAATTCCACTGGGCATGTGCGCAGCGCAATGTGCAGGGCAACCGTAAGTGGTTCGAAGTTTCACTGGGCACGTGCGCAGCGTAATGTGCAGGATAACCATAAACGGCTTGAACCATGCGGTTTGAATTTCCACTGGGCATGTGCGCAGCACAATGTGCAGGGTACCCAATGGCGGTTTGAAATGTCATTGGGCATGTGCGCAGCGCAGTGTCCAGGACAACCAAATTCGTTTGAACATCCACTGGGCATGTGCGCAGCGCAATGTGCAGGGCACCCATCAGCGGTTTGAAATTCCGTTGGGCATGTGGGCAGCGCAGTGTGCAAGGCAACCACCAGCGGTTTGAGATAAGCGGTTTGAAATGCCATTGGGCATGTCCGCAGCACAATGTGCAGGGCAACCAGGAGTTTTTGAAAAGCCACTGGGCATGTGCGCAGCGCAACGTGCACAACAGCAAGAAGCGGCTTGACACTCCATCGGGCATGTGCGCAGCGCAGTGTGCAGGGCAACCATAAGTGGTTTGAAGTTCGATTGGGCACGTGCGCGGCGCAATGTGCAGGACAACCATGAGCGGTTTGAGATAAGCATTTGGAATTCCACTGGCCACGAGCGCAACGCAGTGTACCAGGCAACCATGAGCGATGTGGAGTTACACTGGGCATGTGCGCAGCGCAAGGTGCAGGGCAACCATCGGCTGTTTGAAATGCCACTGGACATGTGCGCAGCGCAGTGTGCAGGGCAACCGTCAGATGTTTCCATGGGGCATGTGCGCAGCGCAAGGTCCAGGGCAAACGTAAGCGGTTTGATATTCCACTGGGCATGTGCGCAGCACAATGTGCAGGGCAATTGTAAGTGGTGAGAATTCGAGTGGGCATGTGCGCAGCGCAGAGTGCAGGGCAATTGTAAGTGATTTGCAATTCCACCAGGCACGTGCGCAGCGCAATATGCAGGGCAGCCATGGGTGGTCATGAAGTCCACTGGGCATGTGGGCAGCGCAGTGTGCAGGGCAACCGTGAGTTGTTTGAAATTCCATTGGGCATGTGCGCAGCGCAACGTGAAGGACAACCATCAGCGGTTTGAAGTATGCGGCTTGCAATTCCACTGGGCATGTGCGCAACGCAATGTGCATGTCGACCTTAAACGGTTGGATATTCCACTGGGTATGCGCCACAATGTGCAGGGCCCTTGTCAGCGGTTTGAAATTCCAGTGGGCACGGGTGCAGCACAATGTGCATGGCAACCAGCAGCGGTTTGACATTCCACAGGGCATGTGCGCAGCGCAGTGTGCAGGGCAACCGTGAGTGGTTTGAAATTCCATTGTGTATGTGCGCAGCATAATGTGCAGGCTAATCATACACGGTTTTAAACCTGTGGTTTGCAACCCCATGGGGCATGTGCGCAGCGCAATGTGCAGGGAAACCATCGGCTGTTTGAAATTTCATCGGGCATGTGCTCAACGCAATGTGCAGGGCACCCATAAGCGATTTGAAATTCCACTGGGCATGTGCGCAGCGCAATCTGTATGACAGCCACAAGCGGTTTGAGCGATGTGGTTTGTAACTCCATCGGGCATGTGCGCAGCGCAATGTGCAGGGCAACCGTAAATGGTTCGAAGTTTCAATGGGCACGTGCGCAGCATAATGTGCAGGCTAATCATACACGGTTTTAAACCTGAGGCTTGCAATCCCATGAGGCATGTGCGCAGCGCAATGTGCAGGGTAACCATCGGCTGTTTGAAATTTCATTGGGCATGTGTGCAACGCAATGTGCAGGGCACCCATAAGCGGTTTGAAATTTCATTGGGCATCTGCGCAGCGCAATTTGCAGGGCAACCCTAAACGGTCTGAAATTCTTGCCGGCATGTGGGCAGGCAGCGCGATCTGTATGGCAGCTACAAGCGGTCCCAGCTATGCGGTTGGGAATTCCACAAGGTATGTGCGCAGCGCAACGTGCAGGGCAACCATCAGCGGTTTGAAATTCCACTGGGCATGTGCGCAGCGCAATGTACAGGGCAACCGTCAGCGCTTTGATTTTCCACTCATGCATGTGTTTGTACATGTATATATATATATATATATATATATATATATATATTATAGACCTTTACTTGTACCTGTAGTCATACCTCTACCAACACGTCAGTATACATTTAGACGTGTGACGATGCCTACACTTATACCTATCCTTGTTCATCTGCTCGTACCTAGACCTATAGCTGCACATATACCTGTACCAATACTCATCTTCTTACCTGCACCTGAACTATATCTACACCAGTAACTACACGTGTACTTGTGGCTGTACTCATACCTGCGCATAAGAACATACCTTTACTGTTCCTGTACCTGTACAGGTACCTGTGCATGTACGTATACTTGCACCCCAAACTTATACCTATACTCCAACATAAATGTGTACACATGCCTAAACCTATACCTAGCCAGTACATGTACATATACTGTACCCATGTACATACCCGTGTCGTTGTACCTCCCACGATACTTGTATTCATATGTTCACTTATGCCCATATCCATCTTATACCCATCCGTATACCTTTACGTATACGGGTCTCCATGTACACTTGTGCCCATGCATATACCTACTTATACCTGTACTTCGTCCTTGAACCACTATGTACACCGATACCACAACTTCTGCCTTTACCAGCGCCCATGCATAGAGCTATACTTGTACCTGTACTGATGTTTTTCCTATACCTCTACCTACACCTATAGCTATACCTCTGCCCCCCTGCCCTTGCCCATGTGTGTACTTAGACCGTCTACCTATACGTATGCAAATTCGTACACATATTTATATACACACGTACACATGAATATACACATATGTATACACATCTACGCGTTCTGTGGCTGGTGCAAATACAAATGCACCCACATACATGTACTTACATGTACAGCATGTGTATATATATGTATATATATATATAGCGAGAAAGGGAGAGAGAGGAAAACAATAAGGACAGCGCCCATCATAGTGTGGGGCAGGAGCTGAGTTCCGCTTAGTTTCTCACTGACGCGAAGCACCGCGGATACGGAAACCATGTCCATCACCCGGCCCAGGTTGGCTTAGCCCAGTGTAGACGACGCTAGGGTCCATTGAGGCGAGCATCGCTACGCTAAGAAAAGTGGAGCCAAGACAGTGCATGCATGTTTATGTATAGGTATGTGTATATGTGTATGCATCTATAAGTACTTGTGTACATTCATGTATATATGTATAGTGGCCGTCGGCCCATCCCGCCAGCGTGCCTCTGTCATTCACACAAAGGCTTGGCCATACCTCTTGGGGCCTCTTGACGGGCCTCTTGAGGGGCCTATTGGGGCCTGTTGGTGGGCTTCTTTGGGGCATTCGGTGTCCTCGTGGGGGTAGGGCTCTCGGGGGCCATGGGTTTCAATGATTTTGGCCTTTTGGGCTAGTGCAACCTACGCGCACCCACCTAAC